ACATCCACCCAGCGTGCCATAGGACCCCGGAGAGCCTGTCCCGCCGCCTGGCATGTCATCGTGAGGTATCACGCAGCCGGGTGCAGTTCCGTTGTGAGGCAGCCGTGTGGGGAACTGCCGTGAACTACACAAACGGAAACCGAAGGGCAGCGCCCTGTCCCGATGCGGGGAGCTGCGGCACGCACCGCCGCCGGGAACGGGCCTCCGACGTGCTCCATTGCGCGGTAGGGACCCAACGAGCTGTGCCCGTCACCCCCCATCCTCAGTCCTGTCGCGCCGCCGGTAACAGCGTGGTTGTTACACCTACGGTTCCACCGAGGGCCAGGCCCAAGCGGCCTGCCAGAGACACGAAAAAACATATATATATGTATATATACACACGTATATAGATAATAGATACATACACTATATAAACTCTTCAAAATTAAGTTGTGAAACCGACTAACTTTAAGCTAAGGTTGTGGTGTTCAAGGCGAAACCCAGCGGCCCACCACAGCCGGCCGGGCGGGGCAGGCAGGTCCGCGTCAGTCGCATCCGGCTCACACCGCCCTCGCCGGCCCAGCGGCGCGGCTGCTCCGCAGGCCGAGTACCGGCCCCCGCCCGCTTCAGCGCCGCTCCCCCGCTGCCTCCCGCCGCGGTCGGCAGCTTCTGGCGGCCGCACCTCAGGCTGGGCACTGCGCCCTTCCCGGCAAAGCAGCAGGGCTCCGGGAAAAAAAAACTTGACTTTTACCAGGAGTGGGGTTCGAACCCACGCGGACATACGTCCATTGGATCTTAAGTCCAACGCCTTAACCACTCGGCCATCCTGGTGCAGATACAGAAGCCGCTCCCAGCCGCTCCTACATCCAAGGTGGCTCTTCCTCCCGTTCTCCCCCCCCCTCGCCGCTGCCTGCGACCCTTGGCCGGCGCCCTCCCGCCTTGATTTCCTGCGCGGCAGAGCGCAGAGCGCAGAAGGCTACGGGAGCGAGCGGCAGCTCTCGGCAGCGGCCGGCGGGCGCTCAGGGCCGGGAGCCGTGTTCCGCCGTGGGGCCCATGAGAGACCGAGGGCCGGAGCGGAAGGGTTGGGGGCTGGCGCGGCCCGGCACTGAGGAGAGAGCGCGGGTGGCGTTGAGGCGCGGAGGGAGGATAGGGGTTGCCGGCGCAGGGCCGGTCCTTGCGGGCCCAGGGGCGCACTGAAGCGAGAAGAGTGGGAGAGCCGGGGAGGGCCGCGGTGCTGGCGTGGTTGATCGGGGGAATGAGAGGGTTGGGGGGAATCTTCACCTATAAGGCTCAAAGCACCAAAAAGTGAAGCAGCTCAGCGCTTTTCTGCACGCTTCCCCTTCCCTCGGGCGATGCTGCCGGGTGAAATACCAACTGAGAGGTGCTCTCTGGAAACGCGGTGTTAGCTATTGGCGTTTAGCTTGTTTATGCCCAGCTGTTTCCTGCAGTAGCTTTTCCCTTACTGATAGAAGAAAACCAGAAACAACAGGGTCTGAAGCTATCAAGTATGCTTCATTAGGGAAAGATACTGCAGAGGAAAGGTTTTTTTTTTTTGCCGATCACCACTACATGCATCATCTATGAAAGCACCTATTGCAATACCCAGGGTTAGTGCCTGCAACTGGGAGCTTGCCCTTCCTCCCTGTGTGAGAGTGGGAATGGGAAAGTGGACCATCACTGGCCTTGTCACCACACAGGCTCCCACTCTTGCCATCTTTGCTGACCATTTTCCAGAGAATAAAATGGTCATCCTGCATCCCACTAAACTTTGCCACCTTCGAACTTGCCACCAAGGGATGAGAAACTCAGTACAACAGAGGCTGGAGAGGCTAGACTGGCAGCCTCTGGCAAACTGGAGGAGGCATGCAGAGGGCAGCTGCTTCCTGGTAAGAACAGGAGCACATAACACTGCTTGGCTGTTGGGCACCCTGGTTGTAGTCAGCCCTCTGTAAGCAGTCTGTGCTGCGAATTTGCCAGTGCAGGTGGTGCCTAACCTCTTCAGCCTGTTACTGCTCAGAGACCCCCAGTACACAAGACATGTCAGTGAAGGAAAACACTTCTCACATAAAATAAAAATGAATTGTTAACATTTTGCATAGATGAAGAAAAAATGTGAAACTCACACCTTTTCCTTTAATTTTATTCACTTGCTGGAGCCCATGAATGAAAGAACAGCTCTATGGAACTTACCATGCTGTATCATGTGCTTAGAATGGGCATTATAGCATGGCTAGCACTGCTCCCTGTTCAGTAGGGTTGTGCCTTGCAGCAAAGCACTGAGAAATACCATCAGTTAGGTTATTCTCTATTCTTCTCTAACATTATTTCTCAGAAACATAGGAAAATGTTACTTCTTCCTGTCAAGACTTTATGCCCTAACAATGTATGTGCTGTAAGGTAAGGTGTAACAGTGTAGCAGTATTCCACTGGCTGTTACTGGCTTCAGCTCAGCAATTACGAAGACTGCTAAAAACATGGAAGACGATAGACCTGCTATCGCCTTCTTACATATTAGAAAAACAGATACCATGGCTTCATGTGCAAATCACATTGTGTCGGAAATAGATTAATCACCACATGCAGTATCTGTTAAATGATACCGTTTCCTGCCTTCATCATATCTGTGATACTTCCCTAGAGATGGAAACACAACCACATGTAGCTTTCCTTTTCAGATAAAGTTCAGATATCTCCCATGGTGCAAAAATCTAGAGAACCTGTTTTGTTTTCAAGAAATTACAAAATACAACTTGGGCTGTGCATTCAAAACATCCTTAATGTGGGTTAGATTAGAAAGGCTTAGCTTAGCTACTCAGTTCAGCCTCCAGAACAAAGATGTCTTAAGCTTAGAGCTATAGCTTTACTTCAAGAAGTTTCTCTCAAAACACATGCAGAGAGATGCTTGCTACAGTGTGCAAATGTGTCCATAGTCTGAATCCCTTGCTTTGAAGTAGCAATGGTTTCACTGCCATTTCTCTAAAATTGAATCCATTTAAAACAAAACAAAAAGCTCAATAACAACAAAAAGCTCACACCAAACCAAAAAAAAATAAAAACCAAGCCAAAACAAAAGATGAAATGGAGACTCATATACATATCCACGAAGTTCACCATTATATATCAAACATTATATTTTGTAATAGGTTGGGGGTTTTTTTCTCTTTTATATGTATGCAATTCTCTCTTATATATTTAGAAGGAGCCAGGTGTGCCTGGTTGCCAGTTCTCCTTTCTCTCCTTCCTTCTCTTCAGGAAGGGCTGAGATTTGAAAGGGGTGGGGGAGGTTTGTGAAGTTTCTACTGCTTTCAGTAGGAAACAAAACCAAACTAACAACAACCCTAAAAGCTAAACCCTTACTTTTTAACTACTTTCCCCTCAAACCCAGCTATAGGGTCAGCCACATGAAGGAAAATTAAAAAACAACCCATGGAATATGCCACATGTATCTCCATAGGAGTTGTGCTGACTTTCAGAGTGAAAAGGCAGCTTTCCTCAGAAAGCATGAAGATGTTTCATTCTGCAGTTTGTGTTATTAGTATGCTAACATATCATCAAGCTACTTTTATCATCTACTTCACTCATCCTGTGTGGCATGAGTCTTTGCAACTATAGTGTGATCAGCTTTTTTCAACAGTCTGTTTAACTGTGACCAGGCAAGTTTGTGGGCTGGCAACATTTCATTTCTTACACAACTGAGGGATAGAAAACCCCACATAGTATTAAGCAATGAATACATGTTTGCAAGGAAGAGAACCATTCCTTCAATTACTGGAAATAATTTTTTAAGTGCCTCTATTCACAATGTGACTTAAAAATAGTCAAAGGGTCTCAAGCTGGTATTTCAATCATTCTCAGTTTTTCCCTTGCAGCAACAGGCTGGAGAGAAGGTCTGCAATTACATTTTCCTCATGCTTTTGCTTTCTTTCCCTGCACCTCAAATCAGACTAAAGATTCAAGTATAAGCATTGCATATCTACTAATGAAATCATCAAGATCTCTCAGAACTGCCAGAATAGATTTTATTTTTTCTTGCAGTAGAGAATCATTTTAGAACATATCAAACTATTTTTTTCATGGGTTTTATAGGAAAAATTATAGTAAGTCTATCTCAATATGCAACACATTTGATTTACTGTGGCAGCAAATACTAGGAGGGCTTTTTTTAGGCACTGTTTAATCTCCTTTCATCAACTCAGAGATCAGTCCAGCAACTTTTAAACTAAAGTTTCATAATGCAAGAAGCTGCTCAGAGATGCTTATTCAATGTACAACACTCTGCACTTTCGGATTTTTTTATGAAATCTTTTATTCCACGTGTAGACATACATATGTGTAAAAAAGAAACCAACAAAAAATATATGTACACATTTCTATCAAAAGCATTGCTGAGTGCTAGAATATGCAGACAAAATGAAATACATATTTAGTTCCTCATTGATTCATGCCCACACGCTGACCCTTGGAGGTTCAGGGTGTTTCTCTACAGATGCACTGTTCCATTGACTTCCATTGGATGGCAATACCTATGGCGTAAATGACTTTGTCTTCTTGAGTAGCACCAAAGCTACTGGTAATGGTGCCATCTCAACACTCTCCTTTCTCCCACTTCAAGTTTGAACATGGGGTTGTTGGAGAGGTCCTCAGGGAAGCATAATACTGATATAATCAGGACATCACTGATTATCAAAATATCTTCTAGTTTAGAAGATTGGCATTCTTTATTCTTCCATGTTATCAGAAACAGGTGCTTCAGCAAAAGAGACTTTCAGTGCCTGAGAAGAGCTCTTTACTTGTGCAAAAAAGCCCATCTGGCTAAGAAGCATTTCCCACTAGGATATAAAAGCATGGAAGTTAAATTTATTTTGCTGGTTTTTTATATCAATACAAACAGTACAAAATGCGTGGGTGTTTTTTCACATATAAAATTAGTGTTCAAAAGATAGAAGAAAAAAGTTTCATTGTGATTCGTGCGGGAAGATGGCTATGCACATTTCCTGAGGAAAACTCCCAAATACAAAATATTTGAAATGTTTAAATATATTTATTAAAATAGGTACAAATAGGATCAGCAGTTTAAAAAAAAATCAGTAACTTCTGAAAAAAAAATGTCCTGCATTAATTCAAAGGACAGCAATAGATCACAGTGTATCAGGAAGCCACCTAGAAATATAATACTTGGAAAACCTCCAGAAGCAGGAGCTATAATCACTCACCAGACCTCATGAATACATGTTTCATGGACAACTTTCAGTGGTTTCCAGGGCTGCAATTTTTCTATTGCCTCCTCATATTCTAAATCTAGTTTGGCCAGATTCCCTTTACACAAAAGGAAATATTACTTTCAAGTTTGAAAAGAGCACTGAAATGACATTAAAATGTTGTTTTCTGTCTTCTTCGGGTGTTCGGAAGAAATATGTCTACTTTCTTCCCAGGTGGAGACTTCCTAATAGTGGGAGAAAAATCGTAGCTTTGTACAGTAAAATTGCATTTTAATAAATTTAATCCTTCATATTATTAAAAATAGACATAAAAAATCCATGTTAATTCTTATTAAAAGAATAGAAGTCTATTGACAGGATAATCCTTCCACTAAAATTGTTTGTGTGTATGTGCCAGCACAGGAAACCCTAAAATGCCTTCTCGATTCCCCAATAGTTATCTTCTTGCATGTGCTGCTGCAGAAGGCCACTGCATGCATCTCTTCTGGCTGAAGTGTTTATTGGCAGAAGAATGTATTAGAAGCATAAAAGCATGGCAGTTTTGAAACTGAGAGTGCAGAGAGTGGCTCAAGTTAAAAGTCGGTGAGATGCCTCGATGTTGCAGTGCTTCTAGTCACCTTGACGAAGTTGTGGATACTCAAAATCAAGAAAAGCAATCACTTGCGCACAAGCAGAGCAAAACGTGCATACTGTCATTTAAGGTGCAGTTACTTCTGTTGAGGTTCAGGTGGAAATCGAGTTGAAATAGAAATTAGTTCTGTGTCCTGTTCCTGCTATCAGGCTTGGTATTTTCTCAAATGGACAGAGTGAAAATCTGTTCAAGTATTTGCGTTGAGCAGGCTCCAAACTAGTTAAAATTGAAACCTGATTCTGTGGTGTATTGTGTCTCCCCAGGCGGCAAGGCTGCACCACCTGCAGAGTCACTTAGACAATAAAGTTACTTCTTGAAATTTCTCATCTTCCCTAGGCTGAGTTATCAGCCCGTCATTCATTTCTCTTTGCTGCTTATCTGAAACAAGTATCGCTGCAGAGATCTTCTTGCACTTCCAGTTAAACCAACAGAGTACATTTCAATTAAAAACAGATTAAAAATAGTTTTATCAACATTTCTAGGAGGCCTCAAATAGAACAGCCTTCAGCATGTTTAGTTAAAAAACAATGAACAAATTCAACTGCAAAATAGTCCCCCATTTCTAGGGGTTGTCATTAGAAAAAAAGTCACTGGAATGAATGCCTGATTTTGAAGACATTCAGGTCAGTCTGTGATAGCTTCAGTGGGATAGTCATTTTCTGCAGCAGGATAAGCAGCAGCAGAGGATTGTTATGAGGGGGTGTTTTCTTCTGTATTCCAAAGCTTTTTTCACTTGCTCTTTAGCTTCTCCTACATAGTCCTCGACATTTTGCATATTTATCTCAATGACGTCAAAGGTGTCCGCCTGTTCCTCCACTAGTAGGGCCACCTGCAGAAAGAGCTCATGAACTTCCTTGATACGACCTTCTAACTTCACAAGCTCCTTATGACGTGTCTCAATCTCATTCAAGGCTGAGCGAGCCCCCTTAACTTCTGACAAGAGATTCTCAGAGAAGACATCCCACTTGCCTTGCTCAATCATCTCCTCAATCTGGTTGCCAGAAACATCTTTGCCCATTATCTCTAGTTGCCGCTGAATTCGAATCTTGCAGTTCTCTCGTTGGTTCATCTCTGCTGCATTGTATTCAAACATGGCTCCCTGAAATGAGTGCATGAGGTCAACGTAGTGGTTCTTTGCTACCCTGGCAATAACAGACATAGCCCCATATTTTGTTACTGCATCTTCACAGAAATCTCTCATTATGTGAAGTTTCCTGTGGATGCTTTCTCCACGGGCCTTAATGTCTCTGGCAATACAATTAGTATCTCGTTTGATGCTACTAAGACGGCGCATAGAAGTAAGAAAGCGGTTATTTTGCTTTCTGAGCCGCTTCACATCCTCTTTTAGATAGTCATTTTCTGTCCGGATGTTCTCTATGTCGTTATGGAGAATTTCCAAGGCATAATCAGTCTCATAAAGCAGAACATCGTGGAGTGAATTTTCATCATCCTGACTTTCAGTAAACTCTTGGTTGTGTAACCTGGCTAATTCATGCAGCTCGTTTAGCCGGTCTTTCATCCTGGCTATAAACAGAGGAAGAGAAAGAAAGAAGTTTAAAGTAAATAAAATACTGGTTTATAAGTGTTAAAAGTTCATAACTAATAACTATATCATAGAATACCTTGAGCTGGCAAGCACCAGTAAGGATCACAGATAACTACATCAAAGGTAACCAAAATATCAATTTTTAATTTGTTCATTGTATGTTTTACATTGATGGATCTCAGATACAAAACACTGGTGCTAGAACCCTCTTCTAGGAACTACAACACTTAGGATCCAAAAAAGTTCAAGAGACAAGACAACAAATCCTGAAGACAAATCCAAAAGTTCGATTAGACAGTTCTCCCCCACCGCAAATGCTTAGTCTTTCACTTGGAGAAAAAACCAAACTCTTGAACAAATGATAGAAAGCCTTCAGCTATCAATACGTGTAGATGTGTTATTAACTGAATGCTTCCCACTGCTGCTCATTAGAGAACTCTCCTTTAGATCTTGACCCTTCATTATATCAACTGCCTCAAATGTCACAGGTCCTCTGCCGTTAAGCTTGCTTGTCCTGAGGAAAGACTAGGAAGCGTCTCAGAGCCAGAAATGGCATTTAGGGGTAGCACAGGGAAAAAAAGTTTTGAGAAATAGTGTGAAAGTATCAAGGTAGGATAAATAAACAGATAGCTAGATAGATAGATAGATAATCAAGGTAGGGTAAATAAAGAAATTATTAATTAATTAATTAATTAATTAATAAGGCAAAGGCACATTTAGGGCCTCCAGATGCAACCACTGACCATAGAGTACCAAGCATCAGACAAAACAAAGTGCTAGCAGCATTTTGTAAGCAAAACCATCCACCCAACCATTTTTTTCTATATGATGGTAACATCCTACTGGAGGAATAAAGTAACACCATTGTTACAGACCAGGATGTTTTCTGTGTGTTTGCTTCACATGTACTTAACTACATGTACTTAACTACTTAACTTGTAACAATCGTACAAATGTCATTAAAAAAACAAAGCAGAAGTCTCATTTAAGTACGTTTAAGCTGGAAACTTCCCATCACAAAAGCTGTATCTCCCATGACCATTTAAATTAGTAAGAAAAAGAACCATGTTAAGAATCAGCACCAAACAGGACATGTCTAGATCTCTGTGTCTGCAGGATTCATTTTTGGTTTCCCAGGAATTAAAGTATCTTCACAACATTTACAAACATGCTACTGCCATGAACAATGCATCCCTTCATCGAATCAGCAGTTATTCCCAGGTTAAGAAAAGTCACATGTCTACATGCCCCAGGAGAATAGGCCTAGATCTAATGTGAATTAAAACTGCAAGTTTATAATCAGTTTCATGGGATCGTTCAACGTGTTAAAGACATTAGGGAGGAGATGGGAAAGATTCCATCACAGGTACAGCCCCCTGGGCTCATATAGTTCATTGTGGGGTATATGCTGGTTTTGAGAAGCATCCAGATTAGGATCACATTTACATAGAAGCAAACAAGTGAATTTCAACTTAAACCATTTCTTTTTCAAGCAATGTAGATCAATAAAGTCCATTAATATCCTGACAAAATAGCCTTCTTTCAGGAATCTACACATGTAATATAATTGAATTTAAAACATAAGCCACATAGATTCAACTCACAATGCTCATCTGACTGCATTCATGACTCTTACTGCCTTCCCTAAAGCTGACAATCCTACTTCTAGCCTTATCCTTGAACTGTCATGTGCTGTGTTCAGCAATTTATTCTTTTTGTGTTTACCATCTACATTTAACAGCACACAATATTTTTTATGACTTTAAAATGACAGTCCACAGCAGCAAGATGCCATTTGGGTAAACTAACTCATGTGAGTGCAGGACTATGTTGCCTTTGTGCTTACCATTCCCTGAACTTGAGAAAAACTGTATTTCATAAGCCTTTCTTCCACAGAGAGCAGACTGACAGCTGGATCAACAATAATTACATTTTATTGTTTGTGCTTGAAAAACACAAACAGAAAAACACACTAAGAGCTGCCATGTAATAAACTCATGATTTTGTAGGAGTAGGTATACCCTTCCTTCTCTCTACCCTGAAAAGTGTAAATTGCAACTTGCCTTTCTCACCCACAACTATATAAGGGTGATGGATTAAAAAAAACATAGGAAGAAATGGAGAAGGAAACACATGGTAATTCACAACAAGAAGATACTAATGTTGTAGTCAGTTCATGTGTATACTAATTCTGCAGTATCTCTATAAAAATAATGTGGGGTTTTTTTAATATAACATGAAAGGTTAAAAAGTCAAGCATTAAAAGAAAAGTAAGGAGCTGCCAAGTGTAGCCTCAGACCATGGTGTTACCTACACACAGGAAGATCATGTAGTTAAACACTGGCCTATGTCCTTTCACTTCCATTAAGTCTCTGCCTACAGTCTGCGTGTGCTGAATGAAACTTGCACAACATAAAGGGATAATCTTACTTACTATGTTACTACTGTAAATTTCCTCAGGGATTTCTCCTGTGATATCTCTGGAAAGCTCCATAAGCTCATAGCAGTCTTTTGGGGAAGGCAGACCTACGACCCCATCTACAGACACAGGTTTCAGCCCAGAGTGATTAAGGACAACATTATGACTTTTGATGAGTTATGATGCCCACTTGAGACCTGAAGCACAGTTTTTCATACCTGGTACATTCAGAAGTCAGCTCTTTCTGACTTTGGTCACTGCTGCAAGCCTTGGGGACTTCACCAAGTAAGCTGGTAAAGTAACAAGCTGGACATCAGTGAATGAACACACGGATTGAGGCCACGTGTGAGAAGCTTGTCTCCAGTGATATGTACAGCATCACTCACAACTTCCGTGACCAGTAGAGCCAGTAGAATCCAATTCTAAATGTGAATAGAAGAATCAAATTATAGTTGCACTGAGAATCTTTAACCTGGAGTTTTCCTGTTTCTATGTGCTTAGCTCTAAAAGTTACATTATTTGAAACTACATACCAAAGCTTACTTTCAAGGTAGTCAACATTAGGATTTTTTAACTCTGCACTGAGGACCTGTACCCATAAGGGTAATGGCTCCTAACCAAAGGATGCCACCTCTTCAAGCCTGACTTCAGAGTCCTGCAAAATCAGGGACTTTTGGACATCTTTTATTCTCCCCAGGTCCTGTTGCTTTCCCTATGTTTCTAAAGTTCACCACCTAGCCAGATTCCCACTTTACCTTCCCATTTTCAAGATGCTTTTCCTTATCTGCATAGATTTCCTGGACAGGATGAGGGACAAAAAAAAAAAAAAAAAAAAAAAAAAGACTTTCTGCCTGTACTTCAGACTTTCTGCCTGTACTTCAGCATCGTATTAGGCCACAAACACCACAAATTGCAGAGGACACAATTCAACAGCTATTCAGCTTTGTGCCATAGCATGCTAAATTACGCTGTGGGTAAGCATTTGCAATATTTACAAAAAAAAATCTGTGAGGTTCACAAAAATGTTTAGATTTCAACTTTCTTGAGCACCTTTAGTTCAAGGAACACAGTAGATTTATTTGGGACACTTACAAACTGCTGCTTTGAGAAACTCATAATTTGACAAAATTTTAGGAGTTTTACATAAGAAAAACAGCAGGCTCAGATGCAGTGCCACCACAGAGGTCTTTCCCAGCTTCAAAGTCCCATTTCAAACACAGGGGAACCAGAGCTTCCCAAGAGAGGAGAGTAACTTCCAAGCATTCCTTTGATAGTGTCAGGGACAAAACTGATACTAAAGAGATGAAACAAATGCACAAACAAGCATGGGAAAGGAGGGGGGAACAGATATCTGAAAAATTTCAGCTTAATGGATCAGCATTTAGAAAGGTTGACCTCCTTTATCAGATACTGTTGTTAGAAAAGTTTACATCTGCTTACACTAGCATTGCTTTGCCATTACATAGCATTGCTTGCCATTAAAACAGCAATGTATTAATATATAGTGCACTACTAGTTGTTAAGGATAATCTCAGCGCTAATTCTTTAAAATAAGCAACAATCTCTCTTTTCATATAGGGCCTGGCACAGCAGTATCAGTTGGGCTCCCAGGCTAGAAAGCATCTCTGCAGAGAAAGACGTTGGTGTGCCGGCGGACATCAAGTTGAACATGAGGAAGCAATGCGCCCTTGTGGCAATGGAGGCCAACAGCATCCTGGGCTGGAGTAGCAACAGTGGTGAAGTGACCCCCACCTGAGAGTCCACATCTGGAGTGCTGTGTGGGTGCCGGGGCTCCCCAGCACAAGAGACATGGATACACTGGGGTAAGCCCAGGGGAGGACACCAAGGTGGTCAGAGGTGCTGAAGCACTTGATTGGTGTACGAGGAGAGGCTGAGACAGCTGGGAATGTTCAGCCTGGAAAACAGGAAGCTTAAGGGAGAACTTGTTGCACCAACTGCAATGCAAGGGAAGACCCTTCATGGAGATGTACAGCGGCAGCACACGAGGGAACAGACCCAAGTGAAAACAAGGGAAAAGCCAGCTACATAGTAGGGGAAAAAGGGGAAAAAAACCGCAAAACAACCAACTCCCAAACTTTCAAAAACAGTAGAAAAGGTGCCAGGAGAAGTTTTGGAATCTGCATCCTTGAAGATACTCAAAACTCTACTGGACATGACCCTCACCAACCTAACTACCTGTGTGTGTTTTGAGGGGGGCTGGATTATACAACATCCAGAAGTCAAGTCCAGATTGTTCTTGTACTCAGCTTTACATCAGAAGTTGGTGAATTTGACCATGAGTGCTAAATATTTAGCACTTATTTCTTTAACACAGGTTTATTTAAGATACAGCTAACACATTAGAATATCAAAACACCAACTGCTCTGTATTCTGGAATAACAGCCCCAAGAGTATAAATACCTTAGTTCTCAGAGTGCGTTTTAATAGATTAGCTGCTAGTTTGATTTTCTTCTAAAATACTGTGCATATTCAAACTGGAACATACCCATCCATCTTTGTATTTTTGAGCTAGCTAAATCTATCCCTGTAAAAACCAGGTTCCTTCTGCAGTCCATCATGGTGTGTACACCCAACCATACACTCTCACACACAGGAAATACAGGCTCAGTAATGACTGTAGAGGTTACAACTTTAAAACCAGACACGCACCAAGTACATACAGTCAGCTGAGGACGTGTTCAGTACTCTTCATGTTGGCATGCTACTTCTTGGTATTAATTACCATAATGACTAGCACTCCCATGATGCATGAGAAAGACATGAGCTGTCCTGTTAGACTGCAGCCCATACAACTCTGTGTGATACGGGATTTCAGATGGGAAAGGAAAATCTTACTGTGAAAATCTGTACCTGTGCATACACCTAAAACACTTTTCTGTTAGCCTAACACACATACCAATAGGAGTCCTGAAGAGCATACTTGCATTGCTATGCTAATGTTATCAACATAGAAATAACATAAAGGTGAAAAGTTATTTCTGTAGAAACAAAAGAGTTGCACACCTTTATTTCAGCTTTGACATTTGTATATCTTATCCACACCTCAGTTTGGGAACAAACGGTGAAATAAAGCTGCAGTTTCAGCATGTCATCCAAATTTCATCACAGTTTATGTATTTTCTATTTACTGCACTCATAAAAGGCAGCTGCTAGTTAACATCAGCTTGTGGATTACCAGAAGTCTAGTCAGTAATCATTCTGATCCTTGAGTAGGGCTTTACAAGATGAAGCTTTCACTTCAGTTGAAGTGGCCTATCTGAGGAACAACAGATACTTCAAAAGAAGCCAGTTAAAAATAATTTATCATCTCAGCAATTCTCTTGCTCAGAAGGAAGAAGTCCTTTTGTGCTCCACTACAAACCCACATGGCTTGTCCTGTCTCTGAATGACATGTGCTCTTGGTTGGATAACACATAATAGATGTGACCCAAGAAACAAGTGGTGAACAACTGGGAAATAACCACCTCCTAAGCAGAATTACTTCATTGCCAAGTGTGCATCAGCACATTCCAGTAATTTCCTATACTATCTGTAGAGGATGCAGTATTGATGGAAATCCACTCAGATGGACTAGCTAAGTCGAATACACTCTATTACAAAGAAACAGTGTGCTGCTGTGGCAGCAAAAATTCAAGTCCTATATAGCTAAAAGAAGTGTTAAATGCAGCTGAAACCATTCATTTAGGAGTTGGAATCTCAAATTTAATCATAATTTTCTAGTATCTTTCTGTTTTGGAAACAGTGGTCTTAGACCAGATTTAGTAATTTTGCCTGCTATCTGTTGTCCAGTAATAGATTTGATAATGTTAATTAACTTGGAAAACAGACTATTGTTTACAATAGGTTTTCCTCTTTCCACATGAGCTTCTAATTGGCTCACAGCAGAATTCTAGTCATCTCTTCAGACTAAATTCCCTGATTTCCCAATCATGCCCATCATTGGTGGAACAGCAGGCTTGAATTTCTCAAATTTCTTTTTTCTTTCTTTTCATCTATGGGACCTTAAGGAAACACCAGAAATCATAATCTAATTATTAGGATAGATTCCCTTCTGGAGCTGTTTTAAGATCATATCTGTATATAAACTCCAATATTAAGAACTATGACAGAGATCAGCATTTCAAAATCTTTCTGTAGCTGCAGTGAAAGGAACTTATCTTCTCTGGAGTTTCTTGGATTGGGCAATGTTTAAAAATAGACAAAATATATTCAGGGCAAGAAGCTGCAAATCTATTTGAAGACTAATAGACACTACCCACTTCATGTTGTTGTCAACGACTGCATACAGCAGGATACCTCCTGTATACTTTCAGTCACCCTAGTGAGAAATGTATGCAATTACAAATGTCTTATGGCAGGTTTGTTTTTCCAAAAGCTTACATGAAGTGTCCACTTCTCTATTTGTTCTAGGACAAGTTATTTATTCTTTGCAGGCTATTTCTGCAGTTGCCAGAAGTCTCCAGTGGTTCCTTTCCTACTTTAAAGTCTAGGAAAGGCCTAGAGGGAAAAAATTTGCATTTGAATAGCTTGTTGCCTCAAACTTAAAATAATGAGGTAATAATTGCTTGAATATCGATAGCTTTGAAGGGCCTTTGACTTCATTCAGTTTCTTTACCAGTACTCAGTCTCTTCCACATATGATAGCATACTACAAATTCAAGGATCTAGGGTGCATCTTGTACTTCCCAATGTGGTTAACCATCTTGCTGCTTTCCATAGACTGGTCATCAGATTTTGCAGACATCAATATCAAAACTAGGCTGTACTAGGGCAGCAGACAAAAAACTTTCTCCACCTTCAGTAGATGGCCAACTGAAAAGTGTTAAGTCTTCACTTGCGTTGTTTGAACCCTTCCCAAAACTGGGAACTCTCTCCAGCAGTCATCATACTTCTGTGTACAAATGGAAGTTAAGGACAGGAAAGGCTAATGCACATCCCAAATTTAGCCACTTCCTTTTCATAAGGATGCTAAAATCAGAATATATAGTTATATATTCTATTATATATATAATATACAGTTAGCAACTGCAGACATTGAAAACCTGCTAAATCCTTGGAATCCTTGAGACCTGTGAGCTGACTCCAGTCAGTTTTAACGTGCACAGCTTGCCAAAAAAAAACAGAACAACATTACAAAAAAGTATCCGGACGTGCACGGGATTGTATTTTACTCAGAGGTGAGAAAACCAATCCCACATCACTCTTCATTCATTGTTTTCCAATACATATAATGTGCTTTAGGCTGAGTACTGCAGCATGCCCATCCTTCCTGCCATAGGGAGCACTAAGGTCTTCAGGTAAAAATGACCTGGAGGCTAGGGGAGCAAAAACTGTACCTCCATGGCTTGGCAAATGGTTAAGAGAGAACCATGCCACTCACATAAACAGTGAGATAGCCATCCATGTATTTCTTGGCAATTACTACAGCTTGGGATCATTACAAGTCACTGTGCAAGGAAATCACACGATGCGCGCACAGGCAGGCAGTGCTGTCACTACAGTGCTGTGAGTACATACATTATCTAATTAATTACTTCAGCTTCCCTGAAATACATTGGCTCAGCGAAATAGTTACATACATACCACATTTATGTAACTACTATTGCTACCACGCAGTGGTATTTATAAGTGATTAAGACATTATGCTGGCATCCAGTTAGAAATACGAGGCTGCATGTGATCATCAGTCAGAAGCAACACGTTCTACAGACGTTTTTAAATCAGCACAACACTATTACTTTTTAAAATACACACATATTTAAAGCTTGTAATGCAGTGTTAATATCTGAGATTAAATGCTCTTTAAAAAATCTCTTTAACAGTAAATACAGGATGTTTTATTGGTATTTGTTCATGTGGGCCAGTACACATGAGGCTCAGTTTGGGATCCTACTGCAAAATCTACACAGCTATAACTGGACCAAAATAGTTTTAGTCAGGAAATAACCCCACAGCCACAGATACATACCCACAGCTCAGCCCCAAGACATGTCAGGCGCTGGCAGGCTTTATGGCAATTACTTGACATATTTTGCAGCTCATGGGTGTTTACAGGCCTGTTCAAGGTACCAGACAATTTGAGACAATATATAGATTAGGGACACATCAGCCAGTGGTACTCAGAGAACGTGTTCCTGACTGGGCATATACAAAGCTCAAGCAAGATCTATTCCTGCTTTCAAAAATAAGTGATTTGACACTAACACATATATGGCACAGAGGGAAGGTGTAGCCGGAAAAGCTTAGAGTTCAGCACTGTCTGGGCTTCTGTAAATATTTTCCAGGAATAATCTTGGCAATTAACATGTTAACTGTCATAGCAGATAAAGCAAAAGCTGCACACATGATAAGCCTTCTGAAGTTAAGAGATGTGACATCTTTCCCTCTTGATAAACTACAGAAATACAGTCTAGATGAGAAGTGCTGAACACTTAGTATGATAGGCCAGATGAGATACTAAGATGCTCGAACACAATCAGCAGAAGCTATCAAAACAGATGCAGAAACTGCAGAACTGCATTGCTCCCCTCACGCAGAGTTCCCCCACTCCCCAGGAAGGGGTTCCCAAGAGACAGCTCTAGGCAGGAGCAGTGCTGCTGCTCCTCTCTGAGAATGATGCTTCTTACTGGAGATGGCTCTCATGGACAGCAAGTTTTGGGGGCAGCCCAAAATGCAAGTGTAACCAGAAATGGCTTCTCTGCAAAACTGCAAAGAAGTGGTAACCCTGCATTTGGTGCTGAGATGAGCTTATTTGCTCAAATTAACACTGCCTCAGTAATTTCTGACCAGGCACTCTCATCCCTGCACTACAGGGATGACCAAAGAGTCAAAGCAAATCAGGGGGACAAGTAAAAGATAATGGAAAATGTATCTGTTCCAGCACCTTCATGTTTGACACAGTAGTTGTCTTCGCACTGTCAGAACTGCTTTTGCATATATGCCAGCATTGTGATGGGTTTCTGTCACACTCAGAGGTTATCTGTATTTCCATTAGCAACTTGGAGTGTGGAACCAAATATAAGCCTTTACAGTCTCCAGGTGACACTGGACTGGAAGGGAGCAGAAGCAAGCATTTGCTGTCAGAATTATATTGGCACGTAAGAAAAATACCAACAAAAAATAAAAGGAAATTCAATAGAGATGAGCCTGGTACAGTTCATTTAGAAGAAATTATTCACATAGATTTACGTAGTAGGGAACACCTAGTTCCTGGTAGCAGGGAAGCATTGATGGGGTTATAGATGACTGCAAGCCAAAAAACCAAATTCACAATATAATGCCACTGTAAAAAAAGAAACATGTCTTATATGAGAGGTGGCATAGGAAGGACTGGTTTTAATGTGCTTGGCATAGGTAAGGCCTTAGTTGGAATACTGCATCCTGTTCCCATTATCACACTGGGAAAGTGGAGCATACTGAGAGTTGTCTCCAAATGGTTTAGAAAATACAGCCCTGGAGGAAGGGGAGTTGAAGGACCTATGTTCATTGCACGCAGAAGACCAGGGAGAGAGACACAGCACTGCAATGTATAAAAGATTTCTCTCTTACAGAAAGAGAAATGATCAGTTTGTTCTCTGTGTTGGCACTGGAAACATGAAGTAATCCATTTGTTTCACACAAGATCCATGTTGAGCTAGCTGCTCCCAGTCTCACTGTGTCCAGCACACTGTATGTGTGATGACAGGTGAGCACAGGCCCACTGCCTATGCTGGGGAGCAATGTGGATGACTCTTTTCACCCAGCAGATTCTCCTCCCTCTCTATTATCTGCATCACAACAGCTACCATTTTTCCTTTTGGAGCAGACCTTGGTTACTGTTATAATGGAAGGCATCTCAGGCATGAAGCCTAACCCCACAGCACCAAAATCTCCATGACTGTGACATATAATACGCAGTTGTGTGTTCCACAGCATCATGTTTATCTGCAGTGCCCAGATGACAGTTATCACATTATCCCCATTTTAATGTCTCAAGAGATCTTATTCACCATGCTTCATGAAGATCTCTTATGAGAACAGAGGTTCACTTGCTGTTTTAGTCTCAACCAAAACACCAGATATGTTTGCCATCTGACCTACTGTGCAATTTCAGTTCAGAGCAGTGGTCATACAAGGCAGCCAATGAAAAAATCAAGACGAGAAAAAGGCAATCAGAAGTGTTGGGCATCTAAACCATCCTTTCTTAAGGATGATCTTTATTCTGTTTGTCTGTTAAACCTTTGAATAATAAAACAAAAAGCTATGGCCATCTTGTAGTCTCACCACTTCAATATAAAAAAAAAATTAAATCATTTAAATAGCAAGTAACACCACTGGTAAGAAAGCAGCATCCTTCAAATTGCATTCTCCTCTTACAAAGTCATATATTGCCCTTTTGACACCTGACAGTTTAAAAAAATGGTTCCTAAAATACCATCTAAAGAACAGGAACAAGAAGTGTGAATGTCCGTTTTAGGCCAGTGTTACTCTTCTAGTCATTTCCTTTCCTGGTATCACACAGTTACATACATTTATCTCAGACATACACAAGTACGAATTCTTCTTGGCAGGAAAGGGAATGAATATCAGTTAATAGGAAGCAATCAAAGAATGGCTGCTTTTGCACCCACTCACAGATCTGGCCATGATAATGCCCAAGAAGGGGTAAAAGCGATTATAGTTTGCTTCTAAACCCGAATTTCTTCAAAATGTGCTCTGGAGCTATTCATAACCATATGTGAGCACTATTAATGAAATGTTAATACTCGCTAAGCCAGGCAAACGAGGCAGACAGAAGTGTAGATGCCTGTTCGGACTAGATGAGGAGACTCATATTTGAAGGTGCCATTGGTTTTCCCCCATCCTGCACAACTCCAGCTACCCCTTTCACCTCTTTTGAGGGACCAGAGCTATCCGACGGCAGACAAGGTGCCTCTGGACCCAAAAGCCCGAGTCCCATCCCCTGCCGCCAGGCTTCAGACTTCCCCTCTCGACTCCTATGGGGCAGTTTCCTTTACTCTTACGCAAAACCAAGGTGCAAGGCTCTCTGAAAGTCCCGCGGCTCCTCCCGCCTCGCCGGCTGCGCTGGACCGGCTGCCGAGCACTGGCCGCGCACCGGGACTCGCCCCGACAGCGGGGGAACGGATGGGCTGCCCACCACTGCCGGAGTCCGGCGCAGAGCTGCCCTCCCTCCGTCCCGCAGCAGCTGAGGGCGGGTCGGCGCCCGCGAACTCCAGCTTATGCTGAGCGGCGCCCGTGGGCACGCCAGGGCTCTCGTCTCGGGAGATAACAGCGGCGTGCCCGGGCTGAGGGACCCCAGCATGACCCCGAGGAAAGCGCCGCTCGCCCTCCCCGGCCCTGCAGGTACTTACCCCGGGCAGTGCAGTGCAGTGCAGTGCAGTGCAGTGCAGTGCAGTGCAGCGCAGCGCAGCGCAGCGCAGCGCAGCCCGGCCGCCCCGTCCCGGCTCCCCACTCTACTCCTGGGACTCGCTGCAGCGCAGCGCCCGCGCCGTCGAAGGAAGCGCTAGTCCCCGGGCAAAGTCCCGCCCCCACCACTCTGCTCGCCCTCCTATTGGCTGCGAGAGGCGGGTTTATTTGCATAGCGGCGCCCCGCCCCTGCCGTCAAGGAGGATGGTGGGGCTGTACACCGTGCCCCCTTCCTCCTCCTCTTCCTCCCCCGTCTCGTCGGGCGGCGCTGTGCTCACGCTGCTTCCTACCGGGGCATGGAGGGGAAAGTCCGCCCCGAGTGTGATGGGAAGCGTGAGTGCGACGTGGTTGCCCCGTTTCTTTGCCGTCGGCCCCATAGACGCCCCTGCTTTATCTTGCCCCGCCTGGCTGCCAGGGGGTGAGGGGGCGGTTTGGGGATGCAGTGAGGCACGGGGTGGGCAAGGAGCTAAACCCGAGGGAGAGTAAGAGGAGAGGGCAAGGGGCAGCCGCCGCTCTCAGAAGGGCAGGGGCATATCCTGTCCCGTCCCATCCTCCCGTCGTGCTGGTCCCCGTCCCGTCCCGGCGCCCCCCGCTGTTTGATGCAGCAACGTCTGTCCAGTCCTGCTGGCTTCAGACGTGCGTGGTAAAATAGGACGTTAAAGGACTTGCTGGGAACGTAGTTCAAACAAGTAGCTGTGGTTCACTGTGGGCAAGAGAAGGTGTGCTCTTCGCTAAGTACTTCAGGGTAGGGGTCAAATTTAGCCCATATTTGGGTGATAGCTTTGACCATTGCTGGAAAAAAAAAACACCACCACTTACCCATCACAAACAAAACAAAATAAAACAAAAACTTAAGCAATAAGTAAGCACTTGCGTTAACAATCAGCTAAAAATATACCTAGAGAGTGGCTCTTTCTCCTTGAAAAATCCAAGACTGTACTGCAGGGTTCTTCCATGTGGAATCTTTGCAGGGATTTTTCTCTTACACCTTGCTGCTGGTGCTGAATTTAAAACTACCTGAAAGCCTTGAATGATGAGTGGGTTTTGTCTTCACTTCCAGGCTTCTGCTTTGTGAGACCAGCTGTGGCATCTGCAGATGGCCTCCTCTTTACCAGTGAAGCACAGAAAGAAAATGGTCCTTTGGTGGTGGTCATGCAAGTGCAGCTGAAAATAAAGCTGCATGTTAATGTCACTTCGCAGGTAATAAAAGGCGTAAGCTGTTTTGTACGGCATGGAGCAATAATCACAAATTAACCTGCTGTTGTTGCAGCACAGGCAGAACTATGGGTGCATTGATTAATATTTCTGATGATCCAGTAAAGAGCAAAGTGCTTGTCTAGGAATGTCTGGTATTGTCCCTATAATTTGTGAGGAGGGTACAGAAGACCAAATTGATGAGCAGCAAGTCTTCTCTGCTTCAGGAGAGACTTTAGGTATAGTTTCATAGAATCACAGAGCAGTTTGGGTAGGAAGGGACCTTCAAAGCTCATCTAGTCCAACGCCCCTGCAACAAGGAGGGACATCTTCAACTAGATCAGGTTGCCCAGAACCACATCCAGCATGGCCTTGAATGTCTCCAGGAATGGTGCATCCACCACCTCTGTGGGTAACCTGTGCCAGTATTTTACCACCCCCATTGTAAAACATTTCTTCCTCATCTCCAGCCTGAATCTCCCCTCTTTTAGTTTAAAACCAGCACCCCTTGTCCTACTGCAACAGGCCCTGCTAAAGTCTTTCTTATAGGCCCCTTTTAAGAACTGAAAGGCCACAATAAGGTGTCCCTGGAACAAGCCCAATCCTCTCAGCTTTAGCAGCTGAGTCGCAGGCAAGGGAGCAATATTGTTAAGTTATAAATCTCCTAAGAGATGAAATACAGAGTGATAAGACTTTACTATTTCTATAAATATTGTCACCTTTAATTAGATAAAGAAGGTTGAAAACTTTCAGGGACAGGCAGCTAATCAAGCTATATGAATGGGTAGCTAAAAATTCACACTTGGCAAACAAGACCCCTGAAGTGCTTGAGAATATTATGTTACCAGAGCCTAAAAAAGGTGCCCATTTGCCTAGTGTTATGAGAAAGAGCCACTTTAGTCATATGTAAAGATTTTTGTGTCACCATACATACGAAAGACACTTGTTTTGGATTATTCGGCTCATTTCAGTCACTTTTGAAATAACATGAACAGTGTAGATTGATAATGAAAATGCTTAGACAGAGAAAAGTGATTTGCCCATAAAAGAGATTTTTCAGCCTTGTCATTTCATCCTCCCCTGGCTCCTGAGAAGCATTACATACAAAGCTGCAGCCGTAACAAAGTCATTTTTTTGTTTCACTTTGTACTATCTCTCATTATAAATGAGACATTTAATGAAAATTGTCATTTACCAGTGAAAGGAAATACTCCCTTTTCATAGATAATGGCAGAATTTGTTAGTGTAGGGATCACAGATGCTAATATTTTTTTTTAAGGAGTTTGGGCAACATAAAGGAGAACATGTCTGGAGACAGGAAACCTCCCGTTTAGTTCCTTTCCTGTCTGAAGAGCTGAGGGTTTTTTTACCTTAAAGATTTCTAATCCAGACCTAGATGTGATGGCTGTCTATAAGCCACATTTTACTTCCAGTTTCCTCATCTCTGGGAAAAGGAAAGGCATAATTACTTTCAGTACTCATAAATGTGTAGTGAAAAATAATATATAAACAATTTGGATTCTTGTATACGTTAAAATACTTTGAGGATGTGTAGTATTTCAAAGCAAATCCACAGAGCAGAGGGACTGTTCATGCCAGGGAAACCCCTCATCCCTTTGCAGTGGTGCATGATGCTTCTAACCACGTTGCTTACCAGGATAATCACGATGTGAGAGTCAGAACAAGAAATTGAGCTTGTCTCAAACACCGCTTGCATTCGACTATGAAAGCTTTGCAAGAATAACTGTGAGTGGAGCAAAGAACAAGGATGTTAGCTTTTGATACCATGAAGGCAGGACCGTTCTGACCTCCCTGTTCAAGGCTGATAAGCTTCCACAGGACTGTGAAACACACTTAGCAGACTTGTATAACTTGAGCTGACTGAGTATGTGCAGAAGGTGCATGAGTGATAACGACCACCCGGAGGACCCTCGTGGGACTCCTTTGGAACTGTGCATGAATTCAGTAAACTACGCCAATCATCATTAGAGTACTGTCTCTTGACAGTTTTTATGTGAATTATCAATAATGCCCCAAAGAACATGAGCATAAAAGGACAGGGGAGGGAAGTCAGAGCTGAGCTCCTACCCCCGGCAGTACCCTGGGTGAAGAGGATCAAGGGGACGTCGCTGGATCCATGGGTGGTGACTATCTGCTTGCAACTCCTTTTATCATTCTCTCTCCCTTTCTTTCCTGCATTTTCCTCAGGAATAAGCACTTGAGTTTATTAAAGAGTTTCAACATCTGGCCTCGTTTGTGCCTTAATTCCAACCAGGTGACAAATGTCTTGCCTCTGACGAGGTCTGAGTCACTTATGTCCTCTGACAATGTCGAGACATATGGAATAGCCTGTCTGAGGTTCTTCCAAAGACCAAGAAATTAGAAATTACATAAAGACAGATTTCTCTTTGCTACCACTTACCAACACCTCAGGGCATCTGGGAGTTCTGGGGAAGAGCAGGTTTGCCAGGACACTTAACACTTTTAATTCCACATGCTAATCTACTACACAGAAATACCCCTCTGTTTGTCTTGATTTTACCCACCTGTACAGAACAGTTTGCATCCATAACACCTGTACTATTTTCAAGTATGGAATTATACTCTTATCAGCCTGTAACAACTGACACCTGTGAAACTTTCAGCTACGAATAGAGCAAATTGCTACCAGTTCAGTTCTGTGTCACAGAGACACTTCTCAGACACAGAAAATCCATGTACACTTTTCTGGATATGCAGTATAAACGAGCCTCTTTTAAGCTAGAATCAGGTCTGGTGTAATCTAGCTCATGTTGATTCAATTAAATTACCCTTTCCTGGTCCTGGACAAATAACTTTTTCCTCTTTAACCTCATGGGTCAGCAAGTGCACCTGGTATTACATGATTTACCAATTTCCAAGTTGAGTGAAGAGATACACTGAGAGACTGATCTTAGGAAATTCTTTCACTATGTTTGTTTACCAGGGAAACTGAGTCTGCAGCTGCAGTACTTCCACCTTGAATAAGGTCTATCAAACACTCCTTCGCCTTTGACAAAAGCTACTGACATTACAGAACAGCTTCGTCACTAAATGTTGCTGATATAAAGAGATCCTCCTTGGTTGCATGAGGAACAGAGTGCTGAAAAGGATTCAGAAGCCGAGTGTCTCCACAGCTAGCTAAATCCACCTTAATTCTTTGCTGAAGCCTACAGAGTTATGTGGATTTACAAGGGATAACATAGAGCTCTACATATTGAGCCTTACAGATGTTTTTCTTCTCGCTTTCCTGTTCTCCTCCTCATTAGGAAGGAAGAAGGCTGTTGGAAAAGGATGGAGTGCCAAAAGCTGTACAGATGTAACTGCTGTGGAGTTGGAGAATGCCCGTGCTAGGGCCCTCTTGCTTATTTGGGAAAGGATTTAATATTCTTCTCCAATTATGCCTGAAAGGCATGTGAAGCCAGCCCTGGGTGTAATGCCCCTGAATTCCTTGTGAACCACAACTTGGCATCCATACGCAGCTTTGAAGGTTCATTACCCATTCATGAGTTCTTAAAGAGCTGCAAATCTAGTTACAGACATAATAGATGCCAGGTTGGATGTACAGGAAATAGCCCTTCTGTGACTTCTGTTGACTCAGGAGATGGCAGCAGGTGCCAGCATGTTTTATTAAGCTAGTAACTGATAAATGAACAAATTGACAATATTTTCACATGGCTTCCCATGGACGTAGACAAGCACAGTTAGCTGGAGCCAGTGGAACAATACTGGGAGATGAAGGCTTGGTTGATTACCAAGCAAGCCACTGGATTTCTCTGCTGCTGTCACAGATTGTGAATGCAAAAGTACAGCCCGTATGCATAACATGACAA